GGCCGTCATTTTCCAGGCTTGCGCTCGCCAGGTTTGGGCCCAAGGTTGTTTTCACTGAGCCACGTTTTACTAAAGGGGGTTCTGTCCATCCCCGATGTTTGACCATCGCTCGCATGCCCCTCCTCCTACCCTCCCCATCCACCTTGCGTTTCCCCCTGGTCTCTGGCCGCGGGAGAACCCGGGGACCCCGAGGACAGTCAGCCAGGCCAGTTTGACCTCTTGAGCGTTTTTGTTGCCGCCCGTCAGCAGTACCTGAGCGCTTCTCGGCCTCGAGGAGGCTGACCTGGCTGCCTGGGTGCGAGCGAGACCACGACTCGTTTGCTTGGGATCCCCGGAGAGGGCACGTATTCGGACGTTCCATTCTGTACAATCGCGCTGGATCGGCTTCGGGCCCATTCCCAACAGCCTCTCCATGCTGCTCCCTCCTCCCTCTCCTCCCTCCTCTCCCCTCCCCTCCTGCTCCTCCATCTCCTCCCTCCTCCATTCCTCCCTCTCCTCCCACCTTTTTCCTCCCTCCTGCTCCCTCCCTCCCCCTGCCCCTCCCCCCGCGCGTGCCCGGTGCCCAGGATCGGATGGCCCAGGCCGTGGGCCTCGAGAAGAAGGCGCGACAAGCGCGCGAGCGGCGCCGCCGGATCGGCCGCCCGCTCCCGGTGCCCCCCCTCGTCTTCCAAGACGGCCCAGATTCGCCATGCAGGAAGCTCGAAGAAGGAAACACGCCATCGACATATGCTTTTCGCGCTCCGCGCGGATTTCTTGGATCCGCGCTGGCCCCCCCAGCGGCGCCTCCAGAGCTTGGGAGGGGGTCCTGCGCAGATCCAAAACGTCCGCGCGGAGCGCCAATGTTGATGGTGTTTTTTGCTCTTCTCTCAACGGGTCCTGAGGTAAACGGGTCCTGAGGTGTTTCGCCGTTTTTACCAAGATGGGCGGCCCCAAGGTTGCTCAAGATGTCCTCCAGACGGCCCAGGATGCCCTCCTCTTGGAGCGTTCTCGCCTTCTCGGGCTTCCGATGCTCCAAGACGGCCCTATATACAGGTCATTCCCTCCATTTCCATCGGATCCGAAAACGACGAACGACAATCATTTTTGGATAGCATAGCCGCAGTGCCGGTCACGCGTTCCAGACATTGTTAGCGTTGAGCGCCCCCCAGTGGTTGCGCGCGGTCTCTCAACAGGGCGGGCGGGGACCAAGACTCGAACTTCCATGAGCAACGCCTTGGCATCGTTTCCACACGGGATGATGGGGACGCGCGAAGCTTGAAAGGCATGGAAAATGGATCTGGCCGCAAAGGACCCCCAGCATGTTGACGAGCCCGAGTGAAACTTTGAATCCGACCGTGACGGACACCAGAAAGAAAAGACGGAAAATACAAGGGCCGACGACAAAAGGCCCGCGATCGGCAGTACATACCGACGATAAGAAAAGAGGAGGCCGATGACACATTCAAATGACCAAGAAAACAGTTGCCAACGACAAAAAAACAGCGGACGACAAAATCCGTTAGCCGCGCAGAGCCGCGTCAAACTCCGAATTGGCGACGACAGTGATTTGAGAAGACGTGCAACACAAATCGCGGAAGCGCCGTTCGCATTGTGATCGCATCGGGAATGCTGACCACAGGGCAGATTTGTCGGTCGGACGATTTGTCGTCGCGCGTTCTGCGCGCCCGGAAGGCTCGCACACGCGCTGGGAATCCGCGCGCGCATTGATGATTCCGCGCGCGCATGGCGCGCGGCGGGATTGGCGCGCGGTGGAGGTGCGCACGCGCGCGCCGATGCCCTCGCGCGCGCCTCCGCTGCGCGCGCAGCGCAAAGTGTCGACTCAACAAGAGCAGCAAATGGCCCGTCCGCGTTGGACTCGGCGCGAAACCAGCGTCAACGCGAGAGCCATGTTTCGGGGCGGGTGGTGGTGTCAGAGTTGACTTCGCGCATCGCTCAACGCAGTTGACAGTTTTGGAACTAAGCTCAACGCCTTTTTTCGAACGGTTGGTCTGTGGATCCTGTCCGCTAGGTACTGAGGGAATGACGTAGGCCCCAAACATTCTTCCAAGAAGGCACAAACGACCCCTCATAGGCCCGCAAGACTTTTTTTGTTGCTGTCCTTCTCCCCGTTCGTTTTCCCAGCCCCCAGATTCCCGACGTCCTGCTGTTTCACACCGTTGACCCCCAGGGGGTTCGCTACATTCTCTGATTTCGCTTTCCATCCCAATTCGTTATTCGACGGTCCCGGGGTCTTGCGATGGTCCCTAGATGCCGAGCGTAATACAAACAATGACGACGCGACGTGCCCAACACATTCTGCAGCCATTTATCCGAACAGGCGGCCAAAGTTGTTGAATGGCCTTCCGTGCCTGGGTTGTGGGTGTGAACCCTAGTGGATGTTCGTTGGGATCAGGCGGGGGGGCCTCTTTGGGGCCTTTTGGGGGCAGTTTGAACGCCTCTTGGGGGCCGTTTAGCGGCCTTTTGTGGCAGTTGTTGTTGGCCTTTTTGGATGGGGCCTCTTGGGGGGGCTGCTGGGCTCTTCTTGAGGCCTCGGGGGGGCCTGTTTGGCCGGAAAGTTGGATGTTCGGTTCGTGTTCCGTCTCTTGGGCCTCTTTTGGGTCCGTCTTGCGGCCCTCTGAAGCCGTTTGGGGGGGCCCTCTTGGAGGCCTTTTGGGAAGTTTTGGGGCCCTTTCGGGCCTAGGCTCTTGTGGGACGGACGGGAAAGAAACGGAGGCGGAGGATCAGGTGAGCGCGGTATGTCGTCGAAGCAGCAGTTGCAGACAGAGGAAGGGCAAAGACGACGAGGACGACGACCAAAGATGAAGGAGGAAAGGGAGGGGGGCATTGTTTCTACTGTCGCCTTCGAGCAGCGTCATCCCGAGGACGGTCGGTTGTATTGTCAGCGCAGAAACCGAAGGAGGCCGCGCTGCACTGCCAGCCGTTGGGTCTCATCCCTGCACACTTCGATGCGAGAGTTCAAAGCGCGCAAGTGCGCCACCAGATCCGCGTGCGGACAAAAGGAAACGAACGCTAGGCCGGGGTCCCGTATCACCAGGAGGTGATCAGCCACCGTGGCCCTTGATAGCACCATATACTGATGCAAGCACAAAGTGACCAGGTTTCAGGAGGGACAAAAACACACAGACACAATTAATCCTCGATTCCCAGGAAAATATGGGAAAATATGGGAATTGGGGGGGAAGACAAAAACCCAGAAAATATGGGAAAATATGGGGGACTATTTTTATTTGTGTGTATTTATTTGTGTGTCCCAATTTCCCTTTAAGGTTGACCGCGTCTTTTCACCCCTGCGTCGACGATGACGAAATTCCGCGCATGGCTCTGGCCTTGACAGTCCGTGGAGGTTATGACCTTGGCGCGAGAGGTGTCCAGGCCTGTGCGCGCGGCCCTGTGGTTGCGAAAGTCGACCCACCTCCACTTGTGGCGACACTTTCGCATGTCGTGGTAACCCCCTGCGGATGGCGAGGTCGAATTTGGGCCCGCGTGAGGCGTCACCTCGTTTGACCTCCTAGCTGCCTCGAAAACTGTGACAGGTTCAACGCCCGAGGGAATGCGACGTCGAATTTGAGTCCGCGCAAGACGTCATTGCACTGGCCCCTCAGCGGTCTTCGAAAGCGGCAACAGTTTCACACGTCATTGTGCCAGTCCCCGCAGCAGTTGTCGAATTTGGTGATGGTTTTGCAGCTCGCAGTTCGCAGCCCGGGATGGCGAGTCCCCAGGTAAGAAGGCGAAGCAAGAGGCAGGCAGGCAGGCAAAAACCATACAAGAGAAAGACAGGATGGAAGACTTGTCGTAGGAGCGGAGGAGGGGGGCCAGGGGAGCGTGTGCGACCGCACTGTTTCATTCAAGACGCGATCCATTGCGGGAGGGTTGGGAGTAGCAGAAATCCGTCGCGGGTTTGCCCTGAGGAAGAAGAGGAGGAGGAGCAGGAGGAGGAGGAGGCACGAGGAGGAGGAGGAGGAGGAGGAGGAGGAGGAGGAGGAGGAGGAGGCTGGAGGAGGAGGAGGAGGCTGGAGGAGGAGGAGGCTGGAGGAGGAGGAGGAGGCGGGCACCCACTCTGCACCTGGGGAGGAGCAGGCTCACAGGAGAGCGCGGCGCCCCCCCCCCCTCGCCCATTCCTCGTCGGCAGGGGCCGGACAGCGCACCCCCCGCCCGGGCACGCGCGGCTTCGTGCTGCATCGGGGGCCTGTCGCCCGTCTGTCGTCCAGGGCTGGACCTAAACGGTGTTTTTGGGGGATTTCGTGGGCCGTTTTCGTTTCGGTTTCGTTTTGCGGTGCAGGCGGACTCGAGACAGAGGCGAGGGAAAACGAAAACACCACGAAAACGAAAAGCACCGTTTCGGTTCAACCCTGCCACCGTCGCTGCGTCGCCGAGTCGCGCGCGGTGGCTCCCCCCCTCCCGCCGGGGCTCATCATTTCGGTTCCTCCGATTTCGATCCGGTTCGATGTCGATGGCCTCCCGTTCCGATTTCGCTTCGACTTCGGACTCCGACGTGGACTCCGATCCCCGATTCCTCAACGGAGGCCTGCCAGCCTGCCGATTCCTGCCGACTCGACTTCTCCCGACCTGGCTGCCGATGATCGATGTCCGCCGATCCGCATCATTTCGATCGCCGACCCGACCTGCCGATTCCATTCTGGGCTCGCCTGCCCCCTGGGTTGGTCCCGCTGCTTCTCGTTGCCCCTCACGGTCCAGTGGTCCTCAGGACGCACTCGGTGTCAGCCCCATGCGTCCCGCCCGCACCCGCCGATGGCACGCCGCCTGTTTCAGCCCTCGCTGCACCGCCTGCGTCGTGTTGAAGGACCGTGGTGGACCCGGCTGCCCCTCGGGCTGCCTCCCGACCCTTGCCCCCCCCCCCCCCCCGCTTCCGCGGGGTTTCGAGCTGCGCCTCCCGCCGCGGGCTCTGCAGGCGCGCGCCGCCCGCGCGGCGGCCCGCGGCGGTTCTCGGCGAAGCCGCTCACCCCGCCGCTTTTGGGGCGCCCCCCGCGCCGCCTCCGCCCATGGCGGCGCCGCCCTGCCACGCGCCGACTGCGCGGGGGCGGCGCTGGGCGACGAGGCGGGCACCGCAGCCGCTGTCGTTGCCGAAGCTGCGCGCGATTCCAGCAGCTCGAGCCCATCCTCTGAGCAGTTCCCCCCCCTCCCTTGTGCTCCCCCTCTTGCGCCTCGTACGGTCTTGAGAGTTGCCACAGAGCCCGAGCGGGACAAGCCGGCAGAGCATCTAGTAGTCGCCATGGAGGGAACGGGTCCCGAATTTGTTTTCCGCTTGGAACCCCCAGGGCCCTCCACGAGCCCCAGGACTGTCACAGAACTGGTCAGGGTGAAAAGTTCGTCCTTGGGCAATGCCCTGTCCAGGACCCCTTCCCTCCCTCGGGACATGGCTGCTTCATGGCAAGGGGGAGGGCTCCCCGTCGGAGGGAACCGTGTCCTCTGGGTTTCTGGGTGTCCGAGTGTGGGTGGGCCCGTCGGCCGTTGCAGCAGTCGGCGGCGAATTCCGGAGCTGCCCTCGCCGGTCAACGGTTCAGGCAAGGCGATGGGCCATGTGCGGTCGCAAGTATTGCGTATGAGTTGGGTGACCGTGTGGTTGCTCAGCTGCAGATCCATGGAGTTGCCAACGCTACGCATCTGTGAGAGAAAGTGCAGAGCAGTTCACCTGGTGCGCTGAGTACAGCTTGATCCGAATTCATGCGGCTGCCAGCGTTGGTCTGATGATCGCCGTTGATTCGTGCCCGCGAGCACCGTTTTTGTGGGGAGAGTGCATGCATGCAGACGAGAGCAGAAGCCAAAACGATTGCATTGGGCATTGACCATGAACAACTTGATACATTGCCATCCTTACGTACGGGCTAATACGTTGTATGATTAGGGCTCCATTGGTAATGAATATGTGCAATCTTTCCATCTTGATGTTACTCGATCCACCCATCTTTTGAATTCCGCACGTTTATCACTGCTGTGGATGAAACGAATCATTTCAAATTTCTTGTACCGGTCAACGATCTCGTATCCGACGCCGTACCCGACGCCGTACCCGATGCCGTACCCGACCCCGAACCCCTTTCCCGATGCCCTTCACCACTGCCTTCCCCACGGCCTTTCCGACGCCGTATCAGACGCCCTTCCCGACGCCCTTCCCGACGCCCTTCCTGGCGGCGTTTCCGACTGCCTTTCCCACGCCCAGCCCAACACCGAGCCCGACATATTTCGGGCCGAACGAAAGGGAGGGATAGGGAAAGGGGGGGGGTACGAACTCTGCTGCATGCAGCTGGTTTCAGCCCCTCCGAGGGGCCCATTCCTCGATACATGGCCGCCTCAGGCGCCGGGAGGCGCCGGGAAAATCAGCTCTGTGAGCTGATTCTCAAACCCCCCCTTTGCTATCCCCCCCTGTCGCCCGGCCCGAATATCCTCCAGGTTGGCCGACGCCACACCTGACGTTTGCTTCAGTTCCCGAGGCGGCCAGAGGCGGCCAGAGCCGGCTGTGGTGTGGCTGCCATTGGCGATCCTCATTTGCAGAACGTTTTTTCGTCTTGTCGGTAACCAAGATTGTTTCGGGGTATTTGCTCATGGCTTCCTGATTCTCGCGGAGCAAGATTGGTGGTCCAAGGCGGCATCACACAGCAACAAGTAAGTAGCCGGGCGAAGGACCCAGCCATCTAAAAGTTGCGAGTGCCGCAAGACAGGTGGAGACTGCGGGAGGGGGCTAGCAAAAGGATTAATGCGTGCGTGAGAAGGACGGAGCGACGTTGTTGATGGGGTCGCAGGGGTCAGCCGCAGCGGGCCACATTTGGATGTAACCCGTCACGGCTGCAGGAAGGAACGTTGGCAGTGCCTAGCCTTTTTTGATGATGGAAGAGGAGAGCGGAAGATGAAGTGAGTTGAAACACAAACGGATGGCATGTGGTTCCCGTGGAACACCCTCTGCGCTCCTTGTGTAATTCGCTACAAGAGGATTCTTTGTGTAAGTTGCCCACCAAAGAATTCCCATTGAAAAGCCGCACACAAGTTTCTATGTGTAACCCACACACACTAGGAATCAATGCGTAAATCGCCCACCAAAGGAGTTCTGATGAAAGGGAGCCGACACAAGTTCACACCACGCGAAACACGTTTGTGACATTGTTGATGAGTTGCGCATTAGTGCTTCTATGAATTACACATATGATCATGTTGTTCGGCTTTTCAATCGGACTTCTTGTGTGGGTGATTTACAGCTTGATGTCTATTGTGTAGATTACATTTCGAGCCCCTCTGTGCGACTTTACGAGAAGGTTCCTTCTGAGGGAGGTGTGCCTATTGGAGTAGTACCCCGCGTAGGTGACTCCACCCCTATGAAGATTCAATTGAAGGCGACCCCGCCTTCAGTTAGTTTCTACTAAAGATGGATCGCAGCCACCTCCAATCTAATCTCATGAGAGGTGGATCCACCCCTAACATGAGTCTATTCAAGGTGGTTCCATGTCCAACAGGGTTTGAATGGCGGTGGGTCTACCTGCAGTAGACTTACATTCCAGGCAATTCCATCGTTGATCAGATTCCAGTGGAGCTCCCGAGGGGGCCACGTGTGACTGGTGTGCCGGCATGGGGGCTCTCACGCATGTGATTCGTACCCCTGGGACTTTCGGTCGGGTCTATCGTTCGGCCGGTGTATTGTGACCGATGTTTTGGGTTTAGCTTCGGTGGTTCACGCTACTGCCGTGCAGGCTCCCCCGTTCAGTACTCCACGAACACATACGTACGTAAACGATCTCCTCGAAGTTCCGTTTTGAGGGATGGCAGCCCAGAGGGTGCCTTGGGCCGTGTGATCAGTGGTGCTGGTTGCGCACAGCGTACTCACCGCGATTGCAGACGACCACGTCAGGGCGCGCGTTACTGGGTGGAAGGCGTGTGCCAGGACTGAACGACACTCCAGACAATTTCGACTCGACGAAGCAGGAAAGAGTCTCGTGTGGCAGTAGATGGCGGGATTCTTGTGGCGGTAGCTCATATTATTGGACTTGCGGCGTTGATTGTGCGCGAGGTAAATATTACACAGAAACATGGTGCGGCTGCTGCTGCAGGCAAGTGCCACCCCGCCGCCCACCTGCAACGGCGCCAGGCCGACTCAGCGCGCGCGCGCGCCAGCCATCGTACCGCTGGACGCCAGACCACTGCACGGCCTCGAAGCTGCAGGACATCGCCGACGCGCGTGAGGCCTTCGACAGCAGCCGCAAACTGGCGGACTGGGACTGCCCGATGGTGCAGGACGATCACTGCACCGTGCCTTGGCTGCCCAGCTGCGAGATCACCGCCGCCTTCACGGCGACGCGCGCGGGCCTCTCCACCCGAAGGCCCAGGTCGAGGCCGAGGCCACCAGTTGGGCCCGCCTCTGGGCAGACCAGCCCCCCCCCCGTCGTTTCGTCGATGCCCACGTGCAAGGGCCCCCCCGTCAGGGTTGGCAGGCCCCCGCGCGTGGACATCACCGAGGCTGGCGAGGCTTTTCGCCACCGGGATCGGCGGGTGCGCAGCGAGGCTGCTGAGCGAGACGGCTGGCGCCTGGCCCACGTGGCCTTCCTCCTCCAGGAATGGCACAGCGTCCTGGGCGGCGGTGCCGTGCCGGCGGCCTGGACAGCAGTGCTCGTCTGTCTCGTCCCGAAACCAGATGGGGGTCGGCGCCTCATCGGGATCGCCTCGGCTGCTATGCTGGGCGATGCCACTTCTGGGAGCTCGATGGCGCGGTGTCCCGCGCGCCCATCGCACTGGCACGCGGGTCGTTAGTTACAAGGTTGCCGGGCCAGCGTGTTCTGCCTGATCTCAGAAATTACTAAGGAGGCGCTGGACAGACAGCCAAGCATTTGAGGCTCAAGCTTAGGCATGTGCTAGCGACAGGACCTTGCAAGGCTGGGTTCCTCGCTCCACGGAGGGAGAGGAGAAGGAGGAGGAGGTGGTGGAGGAGGAGGAGGAGGAGGAGGAGGAGAAGAAGGGTCGACGATCGAGCAGGAGGAGGAGGAGGAGGAGGAGGAGAAGGAGGAGAAGGAGGCTGAGGAGGAGGCTCGAGGAGCGAGTATCGAGGAGGAGAATGCGGAGGAGGAGCAGGAGGACTGACGCCCGGAGCGCTCGCGCCTGCGGCTTGCCCAAGAGAGGAGGAGGGTCGACGAGGCGCAGGAGGAGGATCGAGGAGGGAGTCTCGAGGGGGAAGATCGAAGAGGCGGAGGGGTGGGCCGCGGGCTCCCCGCGGCAGGCGCTGCGCGCGGGCCCTCCCGCTGGCGCCCCTGCTGCTGCTGGCCCTGTGGCTGGCGCGAGGCCGCCGGCTTGCCCGTTCCGCCCGCCTCCCGTGTCTCGTGCCTCGGGGGCCCCAGAATCAAGCAGCGGCGAAGCGTCCTGGCTTGCCTAGGGGCCACCGAAGAATGTTCTAAGAACCTGTTGTGGTGGGCACGAACTGTTCTTAGAACATTTCTGGCTGGGACTGTCTTGTTTTAACACATGGTTTTTTGTTCTAAGAGCATCGATTTTGATCTTAGATCATCTCTGGGTTCTGAGAATATCTCGTGGTAGGTCTATAGGAATGCCAGGACGGTCAGCCCTTGCTCAACCGAACCGTGTGAGCGACGCAGGAAAAGAATGGGTCTCTTCACCGACAGTGGCGCGCAAGCGGCCCGCGCAAGGTCGGCGCCTAGCGCCCTCGTCTCCGCTGTGGCGCGCAGGGCCCGCCTCTCGTGCCCCGAGGGCCCCAGGTCCAAGGAGAGGAAGCGCTTGGAGTCCCGAAACGGTGCGGTGACAGACCGTGCGGTGATCTCGAGATCCCCCAAGACCTCACCGCACGGTCCGTCGCCGCACCGTCTTGAGACCCCGGAGGCCCCTGTCGCCCGAGACGTCCTCGGAGAAGGCCTCGGGTCCCACGGCCGTGCGGTGGCCCCGACTCCCCGCCGACTCGCCACTCGGTGTGGTCACCACCCCGTTTGGGGGGCCCCCGGAAGCGGCATCCGCCTTGAACTGTTGGGGCTCCGCGAGGCTGTCCTGGATCGGCGCTGGCCCCTCCTCGGCGGCGCCTCTGGTGCCGTCCCCGGCGCGCTCCGCGCTCCGCTCCCGAGGTCCGGCGCGGGTGCCAAGAGATGCGCGCGGACCTCCTCAAGTCATGCTTCTGCAGTTTTGTCCTCCTCCCGTGCGGTGTGGTGACGGACCGCGCGGTGACCTCAGAATCCCTGCCACCTCGCCGCAAGGTGGGCGCCCTTCCTATTTTCCTGTGCACTTCGGCTTTTGGCTTCGGCCTCCGCTGGGGGGGGCACTGCGCAACGCCTTCGGGTCAGATCACCCGAGTGGTCGGTTCTCCGCTCGAATGGGTCCACCACCTTCGTTTCTTGGCACATGTTGTACGTACCTGCCCATTTCCGAAGTTGTGCGCGCCAGTTTGGGGCCTGCGAAGCGTGCGCTTTCCATGGGTTCGCTGGCGTTGCGCCCGGTAGAAGAAAGCACAACTTGAGCATCTTGAGCATTTGTGTGCCCAGAGCTCCCATCGTTGTCCGTTCGTCGTCGCCCGTCGGCATATCGCGTAGAGGTTGCTTGGGCGCCCCCACGCATCCCCGGAGGTTTCAAGTGCCCACAAGATGCTCCATCTGGTATCCAAGACGGCCTAAGAAGGACAATCCACATAAATCGCCCGAAGGCGACCCTGGAGGCCCCGAGCGAAGCGCCGCGATACCATTCAGCAGGTGGTGGCTCTTTCCGGGCTCTGAGGAGGGTGGCTGTCGCATGTTACGGCCTTCCCGCGGAAGAGCGTGTCGCATGCTTTTGCCCTTGGGCGGCCCTCGAATGATAACCACTGAGAATGCCGATCTGGCACGGTCGCGGGCCGTAGCGTAAACATGCGGATGCCGAGTGCCGCTTGGGCCTCCCAAACAGCGCGGCGACCACACCGCGTGGCGAGTCAGCTGGGAGTCGGGGCGGACCGTGCGGTGAGGTCTCTGGGAATCCCGAGGTCGCCGCGCGTTCTGTCGCCGAACCTTTTTCCGTTTTGGGCCGTCCAAGCCAGGGTGCACGGGTGTACATATGCCAACCAAGTCCAAGCTTTCGCTTGCGCTTAGCCTCGGAGCCTTGCGTGGTTGTCGCCGGCCGCCAGCCGTCGGCTTGTCGTTGCCGTCAGCGTCCTCCTCCTCCGCCACGCTCTCCAGCCAGCCCAGCCCAACCGAGTGGAGCCCGCCCTCTTCTGGGCACCTCGGCGCAGCCCCGACGCTCCAGGCTGGCCTGTCCGGCGTACGGCTCGGTGCTCCCGAGCGTGAACCCCACCCTTCAAGAGGGAACAAAACACACAGACACAATTAATCGACGATCCCCAGGAATATATGGGAAAATATGGGAAGCGGGTGGGAAGACCCAAACCTAGAAAACATGCGACAACATGGGGAATCTTTTTCTATTTGTGTGTATTTCTTTGTGTGTCCCAGGGCCCCTTCATCCCTCCCACCCAGAAGTCGTGGGGGGTATAGGGGCAGGGTTCGCATGCGGCCCCCCATCGGTGCGTCCCCCCCCCCCCGCTCCGCCGCTCCGCGTCCACACGGCCCCTCCCTCCCCTCCCCTGCCCGAGGGCCTGCTCGTCCCTGGGGGTCCGCCGGCGCGGGCCGGCCGTGGCGCTGGCGATCGAAGCATTCACCCAGTCGTCCGAAGGGGCACGCACTGATGCGGTGTTGCTGGGCCATGTCGCATTCACCGACGAAGAAATTATCCCGGCAAGGCAACCTGACAGCGATGTGTGGGAGCAGATCTGGAAGCATTCCCCTCAAGATTCAGATGAGAATCCAGTTGTAGAATTCTGTCGTTCTCGCAGTCGTAGTCGCATTCGCGATGACAGTCGCAGCGGCAACGGCAGTCGCAGTCACAGCCTCAGCCTCAGCCTGCCTCAGCCTCAGCCTCAGCCTGCCTCAGCCTCAGCCTGCCTCAGCCTCAGCCTCGGCCTGCTTCTGCCTCAGCCTCAGTCTGCCTTCAGCCTCGGCCTCAGCCTCAGCCTGCCTCAGCCTCAGCCTGCATCAGCCTCAGCCTCAGCCTCAGCCTGCCTCAGCATCAGCCTGCCTCAGCCTCAGCCTCAGCCTGCCTCAGCCTCAGCCTCAGTCTGCTTCAGCCTCAGCCTCAGTCTGCCTTCAGCCTCGGCCTCAGCCTCAGCCTGCCTCAGCCTCAGCCTGCCTCGGCCGCAGCATCAGCCTGCCTCAGCATTCAAAATGTGGCCCAGGAATGGAGTTCTGGGAACTAGAAGAACACGAAGTGGCCTACAGTTGGCTCCGGGCATTCAAAATCATGCCCAGGAATGGAGTTCTGGGAACTCGAAGAGCACGAAGTGGCCTACAGTTGGCTCCGGGCATTGTGGCCCCCGGTGGAGTTCACTCGAAGTGGCCTACAGTTGTTGGCTCCGGGCATCCAAAATGTGGCCCGGGAATGGAGTTCTGGGAAGTCGAAGAGCACGAAGTGGCCTACAGTTGGCTCCGGGCATCAAAATGTGGCCCGGGAATGGAGTTCTGGGAGGTCGAAGAGCACGAAGTGTGTGACTGTTGGCTCCGGTTATTCAAAATGTGGCCCGGGAATGGAGTTCTGGGAGGTCGAAGAGCACGAAGTGTGTGACTGTTGGCTTAAAACGAGCCCGGCTCTGTTCCCGGCCCTCCTCCCCGGCACCCGCCCAGACCCCCCTGTGGAGTCCAGATGCTCTCTTTTGACACCACTAGAAACCTATCAGCAAAAGCTGTTAGGTAAATAGCACACACAAACCCAAACTTTTGGGGCTCCGCGCAGATTTCTTGGATCCGCGCCTGGGCCCTGGCGGCGCCTCCGGCGCCGCCCCTGGCGCGCTCCGCGCGCCAGGGAGGGGGGGCCTGCGCAGATCCAAGAAATCCGTGCGGAGCGCCAAATGTGCATGTGTACCTGGTTGTTTCTTCGCCCGACTCGGGGCTTCGGCTCCGCGTGCGGGGGGGCTGCGCGTCCCCATGGGTGCGCACCCCGACACAGGTCTCCTGGGTTGACGTAGCGGTCCAAGGCGGTCCTCCCCACCCGTCCCGCCCTTGCGCCCCGCCCGTGCTCTGTCCCCACCCGCCCCGCCCGTGCTCCGTCCCCGCCCCACCCGCCCGTGCGCCCCGCCTGGCGGTCATCCCCACCCGTCCCGCCCGCCCTCCCGCGCGGGCCCGCCCGTGCGCCCCGCCGTGCTCTGTGGCCGCGCGCGCCCGCTGCAGTGCCGGCGTCGCCCGCCCCGCCCCGTCAGGGCCCGACCGCTCCCCGCTCGCCTCGCCTGCCCGCCCCGCCGAGGTCCCCACCTCGGGGGGGGCAGAAGCTGCTGGGCTCGCTTTCCACCGCCACCACCAGAAGTTGGAGGGGGAGGGGGTCCTCCTCCCCCCCCTCCTCCACCTCCTCCTCCTCCACCTCCTCTTCTTCCTCCACCTCCTCCTCTTCCTCCTCCTCCTCCTCGTCCTCGTCCTCCTCCTCCCCCCTCCAACTTGTGGTGGTGGCGGAAAAGAGGCCCATCAGAAGCAGTGTCAAAGACACGCCGCCGTGGGGAACCCATCTGCCGAAGAAGCACCTGGCCGAGAGTCTTGCCCTCTCCCGTCTCACGGATCCCGTTCAGCCAACCTGGGCCTTGTTGAGGTCGTGGTCCCTCTCTTCAGGCCAGTCTCATTAGATCCGCACATGAAGTGCTGTTGCCACGCAGTTGTAAGCGCTAAGAGTGGGATAGCAAGGATTACGCCTTCGCCTCTAATCCGCAAACAGTCGGGCACTTCACTGCCGCAGCACAATCGCATCGACTCGCCCTTGAGACCACGGCCTCCACGCCGTGGGCATTGGCAGGCTCCCCAGAGAAGCGCGCACGACTCCGGCGTTAGCTCCGCTTCGCTTCACGGATCCCTCCCCCTCCTGCTTGGTGTCCGCCCGCCCGTTCGCCGAGGTTTTCATTGTTTGCCCAGGCCCAGGCGGACTTCTTCTCTCCCCAGGTCACCGGGAAGTCATCCTGCAAATGCTTTATTTGTTGGTTTGGCGCACGGCTTACGCCCCCCCCCCTCCCCCTTCTGAGCGAAATTGCCCCCAGTCGACGTGTGGTTCTCGAGAGCTTCCACAGACCTTCCAGACTCGTCCCCATATTCTGGACGGCCGGAGGGTTATTGCACTTGTGTGCTCCGTGTTCGTGTGTTTCCCCAGTTTTCCGCAAGCCCTTGTGAGCTCACCTCCTCTGACCCGCCGACCAGATTGACCACCTCTTCTCGAGGATGAATCATGCACACACGGCGGTCGTTGGAAGTAGGTATTTCAATTTGGAATCCCAAGCCGCCTTGCTACTTCATGTTTTTTACCTATTTCTTCCGATCGACATGTAAACATAAACGTTCGAAGCTCCGCTTGGATATTTTGGATGTCGCCACTTCTTCAGCGCACGAGGTGCCTGGAGGGCGTCAGCGCCGACCCACGAAATTCGCGCGGGCCTCAGATGAGGGGCAACGATGGGGGGGGGGGGGATAGGCACAGGGGGGATGCATCGATTTCCAATCACCCGTTGATCGCCGATAGGGACCCGATAGCCCCAACCTGCCCAGGAATTTATGGATTCATTATCGAAGACCTATCGCCGATCTATCGGCGATGTATCGCCGATTCCAGGTCGATGTCCCCCCCCCGCCAGTCCCACATTATATTTGCCCCTCATCAGAACGTTCCCCAAACGACTTGAAGGACGGCCCGAAGAGTGCCGCGAGAATACACCGGGCCACCCGCTTGGAAGACGAGGAATGGGGACGGTGTTGGAGGGGTGGTCCGGGTGGTTCGTCGTCGTTGTCAGCCGTCGTCGTCCGTCGTCATTGTCGTCGTCGGCGGCGGCGGCGGCATCGGCTTTGGCGTCGGCGTCGGCGCCGGCGTCGGCGTCGTTGTCATCCCCCCAACCCATCTGGGAGCGGGTGCCTGTGGAACCCTGGGTCCAATCCCGTCTCGGGCTGGGGCTGTGAGTCCTCGACCCAGGATCATATAATGGTTTGTGTAACACGTCGGCTGATTTATCCGTCGGCCAACCGATAGGACGATTATGCACTGCTCGGTCTACCTGCTGGCAGGATATCCGAGCACAGCCGACGACGAAACGATTATCAACACTAGTCGGTTGTTGCCAGAGGTTTTCTTGGCCTAAGGTTTTCGCAGGATTCCAGAGCACTCCTCGCGCACTCCAGAGGGGGAGGAACCCCTCACGTGGCCCAGAGCGCCCCAGGAGCCCCAGAGGCGGCGGAGAAAGCGGGGGACGCCGTGGGCCAGGAGGACCACTTCCAGTAAAGCCCGAGACCCCCAGACTGCCTGTAGTCCTGCTTCTGCCTTCCTTCAGTATCGTTTAACCGACCCCCATCCCCATCCTCATCCCCTTCGAGACCCTCATCAAATCACCACCCCAGTTGGGGATACACCCCTCGAAACCCGAAGGGAACGGCCCATATCCCCATCTAGGGGTGTAAATCTGCCAGTGGGACCCAGGCCACGCCGCCGGGAATTGGGGATCGGTGAAACGATGCTCATTCCTGCGTGGGCTTCCCTCGCGCGCCGCGCCCGCGCAGGCCCGCCCGCTGGATCCGCGAGCCCGCCCCTCGCGCAGGTGGTGCTCCAGGCGCGGGACTCCCCCCCCCCCCCCTCCCGTTCGGGTATAGCCGGGACCCCAGGTAAGGAGACCCGGTTAGTGGTAGGGCCCCGGATGGTGGGCTTGTCTTCCACCACCACCACAACCACCAAACGTGGGAGGGGGAGGGGGTCCTCCTCCTCCTCCTCCTGTTCTTCCTCCTCCTCATCCTCCACCTCCTTCCCCCCTCCAACTTATGTTGGTGGTGGTGAAAAACAGGCCCAACACTGGAGCCCCCAAATTGGGGCCAGAATCACTTAACCAGGTCTGCCGTAGCTGGTGTTTTTTTTTCGGGTGACGGCAGTTCCGGTTCGTGGAACGGGGCGGGGGGGGGGGCGTCCCCCATTACACATCGCTGAACCAACCCAGTTTTGCCAACGCCCGACCCCGCCCTACAAAATGGCATGGTCTTCTCCTCCTCGTCCTCTTTCTCCTCCTCCTCCTCCTCCTCCTAATCCTCCTCCTCCTCCTCCTCCTCCTCCTCCTCCTCCTCTCCTCCTCCTCCTCCTCCTCCTCCTCCTCCATTCCTCCTCCAGCTGTGATGGCCCTAGGACGCTTGCATCTGCTTGAAGCAGACAATGTCCCCGATGCGTGTCCGATCTGATCCTCCCGCTCCCCGCTCTCCTCGCCCCTGCACGCCCAGGAACAGCCCGCGCAGCCAGAGGGCCCGCCCGACAGCGACGAGCCGCTGGCCAGCGACGAGCCGCCGCCCGATGGCGACGAGCAGCCCGCCGCGGCCGCCACCGACGGCGAGTGGCCAGAGGAGGACCCCTCGAGGGTCACGGCAGATCGGGCCGGACGAAAGGAGGGGATTGGGAATCGGGAGCCTCGAGACGGGGGTCAATGCAAACGGGGGTCAGCCAGAGCGCCCGATCTTGCAGGATCCTGCAGGGCCAGGGTCGCACTGACCCGGGTTTGGGTGCAGGATCTTGCAGGATCCTGCAGGATCCTTCGCATTGACCCGGGTTTGGGTGCAGCATCTTGCAGGATCTTGCAGGATCCTGCAAGGCCTCACTGACCCGGGTCTGGATTGACCCGGGTCAGGAGATCCCCGAGGGAAAGGGGGGTTACGAAATTTGCTGCATGCAGCTGGTTTCGGCCCCGCCGAGGGGCCCATTCCTCGATACATCGTCGCCTCCGGCGCCGGGAGGCGCCGGGAAAATCAGCTACGTGAGCTGATTCTCGAACCCCCCCTTTGCTATCCCCCCCTTTCGCCGACCCGAAAGGGTCACGGCAGATCGGGGTTCAAGAGACGGGGGTCGATACAGACGGGGGTCAGTCAGAGCGCCGGATCTTGCAGGATCCTGCAAGGTTTGACTGGCCCGGGTCTGCATAGACCTGGGTCAGTAGATTTAGAAAGGCCAGGGTTCGCTCTAGGGACCGATTTCCTAATTTCCAAAACAACGGAAACCGCTCCCAAACCCGCCCGAGACCCTCCGAGAGCCCTCCCTGAACCCTTCCTGGAGGGTTTCCGGATGGCTTCGGGAGGCTTTCGGCTGTTTCCAGAGGAGACCAGTCCCTGGCGAACCCTGGACTGTCCAGCAGTGGACCCCCGTCGGGACCCTTCCAGGGTCCCGACGGGGGGGGGGGCAGCTCAGGAGCGAAACAGGGACGTACATGTACATGAATCCACGCTGGTTTCGAGAGCACGCATTGCACAAATGTTCGTACAACGCGGCGGGTCCCGCGAATCGAGGGGCCGTGTTCATGGACATAGCGGGGCGCGTACGTCCTTTGTGGGCTCCCTAGCAGCCTCTGCCGTCCTGGGGGGGACTGCCCGATAGGCCCATGGCCCGGCGCAGGGCCGCCCCGCACCGCGGTGCTCGGCCGCGCGCGCGCGCGCGCCTCGCCCGCGGCCCTGGGCCGCCGAGCGCCCCCCGCGGGGGCCTCGTGGGGAAGCCGGGCGCCCCCGCGGGGGCCTCGTGGGAGCTGTCGCCAATCAGAGCCCCGAATCATCATAGGGCGACGAGATCTATGCATATCCACTGCTCCTGGCCAGGCCCATCCTGAGCCCAGGAGCTGTGTATATGCCTCCCTGGCCAGGCCAGGAGGGCGTATACACCGCTCCTGGGCCCAGGATTGGCCTGGCCAGGAGCAGTGGATATGCATAGATCTCGTCGCCCTACATCAGGGGCAACTCGGGTCAGGGCTAACTCGGGTTCCTTTTCGGGAGTCCGAACCCGACGTACCCCAGACCCGAGTTGCCCCGGACAACTCGGGCGCCCCAGCCATGGAGGAGGCAGTGGTGGAGCGTCCTGGCGCGAACATGGGCCTGCCAAGCAAGGAGCAGTGTTGCAGGAGCACTTGGCGGTCTCCACGACATGCTCTTACAACATTTCTGGCCGGGAGCGTCTTCTTTTGACACATCGGGCTCATGTTCTGAGAGCAGTGTTTTTGATATTCGACCATGTCTGGGTTCTAAGAACATGTCGTAGTAGGCCTCTCGGATTGCCGGGACGGCCAGTCCCTGCTCCAACGGAGGAAGCGGGTCCTGCGGGAAACCGGTCCTGAGGCTTTTTGCAGTGTTCGGGCCCCCGGGGCCCGCCACAGGCCCCAGGAGCGTCAGAGAACAGAGAAGGATGAAGATCTCGTCTTGGGGGAAGGCCCCAGGGTCCAGGACCTGCTCCTCCCATGCTAAGCTAAAGGGGGGATAGCTGTTTCAATGTTTCTGACGAAGACTTCCAGAAGCTGCCTCCTAAGATCGGCGGCGAGCGAGGGGGAGACGTGAGAAGGAGGAGGCCGTCTCAGAAGGCGGCGGGGTTTCTCGGAAGCCCTTGCATATTCTGAGAAGTCGTCAGCGTCTTCGTCGGGTGCAACGATCGGGGGGGATAGGCATAAGGGAATGCATCGACCCCCAATCGCCCATTGATCGTCGATAGGGGCCCGATCGCCCCAACCTGCCAAGGAAGGAGCGGATTCATTATCCGAGGTCTATCGCCGATCCATCGGCGATGCATCGCCGATTCAAGGTCGATGGTTCCCCCCCTATGCCAGTCCCCCCATGTCGTTGCCTCTTACTTCCTGGCAGGCCAGGACGACTTCTCTGAAGGCCCGATGCCTTCCGAGCCTTCTGAGAAGGCCCGCACCGCTCCGTTCTGCGAGAGCACGGTGCACGCGCCCGACGGAGGCAGTCTCTCTTGCTAGGAGGAGGAGGAGGAGGAGGAGGAGGAGGAGGAGGAGGAGGCGATGCTAGGGGGGATCAGCTCAGGAGTCGAGGTTTTCCCGTAATCGAGGCTCGAGGCCTTCGGGCAGCTTCTCGTCGGGCTCCGGCGGCTCTCCCGCCTCAAGGGCTGCGCTCTCGGCAGCCGCGCCTCGCCGCCAGCCTTCCGGGGCCGTCGGGATCGCCCCGAACGGCCGCCGGATGGCCGAGCTACAGACAGCCCGCAGAGTAAGGATAGGCATCCCTCCCATCCCACCCTCGCATCCTTGCTTCCTGGGTCCATCCTTGGATACACTACTCTACACGATGCTTAAGAAAACCCAAGTTTTCGGCCAGAGTCTCGATTATTCTTAATGTTTCAATGTGAATCCTAAGATTTGAATAGACATTCTGGGTTTTTAGTCAATTTCTGGGACTATGAATTTCTTAACCCATGATTTCTTAAGCATTTCGCAGGGTGTACTTTCGTTGGCCGCGCCCCGCTCGGGAAGCTTCGAAATGGGCGTCCAAGGCCCTTGCATCCTTTAACGCGCATCTTTACTCTGCGGGTTGTGACTGTGTGACCCGAAGACCAGGGGCCAACTCGAAGAAGAAACAGCGCCATCAACATAAACTGTTTGCGCTCCTCGCGGACTTCGTGGATCCGCGCTGGGACCTCCCGGCGGCGCCTCCGGCGCCGCCCTCGGCGCGCGGAGCGCGCCGGGGAGGGGGGCCCAGCGCAGATCCAAGACATTCGCGCGGGTTCGACTAATTTTAAAGCATGTTTTGACTATTATTTAATCGCTCCGCTCATGCCGATGGCCCTGGAGCCCTCTTTAGGGCCTCTTGGGGGCCTCTTGGGGACCTCTTGGGAGTCTCTTGGGGCTCCTTGGCGGCGTTTTGGAGGCCCCCAGGGCCTCTTGGGGGGCTCTTGGGGGTAGTCGATTGCGGCTCCCCCCTCGGAGGCCACGATCCTCGTGAGGGGTGTCGAAAAATACCCTCCCCTGGAGTGGTCTGGTGGCTTCTCCCAGGCTTCTCTCGGGACCTTGCCGGGGTACTTTTCGTCCGGGGGCCCCCAGGGGCCGCTCCGCGCGCGCAAACTAGAAATATTGTTAACAAGTTACAGGAGATCTTAGCACGCCTCTGGCCCGTTGGGCCGGCGAATTTCATTTTTGTAAACAATCCGCCTATAGGAGGACATGCCCGACCTAAAGCCAGTCTCCGCCGTCCCGATACGGTTTTGACTGAACTTGGCAGCCCTTGGATGGTTGGAGCTACCCCATCTCCTTGGTCCCCAGGGTTTCCGATGGACTTACCAAACACCTCCGAGACAGTCGGAGGGGCCCTCCAGACGCCCAGATGATCTGCAAAACCGCGTAAGACAGTCCACAAGCCACGAGCTCCCCGAAGCCTCCTGTTGGGCAGCTTTCGGTCGGTGTATTTGCTCAGGGCAGCAGGATTTCCTAGGGCCTGCTTATTCAACGACTCCTGAAGCGTTTATCAGGGAGTACGCTACCAGATGGTGATCCTTGCGGGACGATGTCCATCCTCATCCAGTCCGGTTCGCGAAACCCCACCAGCCCATCCAGAAACGATGCCCAGACGAGATGAGGAAGAGGAGTTTCTTTTTGACCCGCAGGGTAAAACTCAAACTTGTTTATTCATGGAGGAAGCTGGCGGCCTCCTCCTCAGCCTCAAGGTCAAGCTCTGGAGCAAACAGCTCCTGGGCCTGTCCCTGAATCCCTGGGCGGGGCTCCTGAGCAGACCGCTGCTGCTCTGGGGCCCTCAAAACGTGATCCTGAGAACCTGCCGCCTCCTCTCGTGCTGCTATCCGCTGCCTCAACCCCTCCAGTCCTGGGGTTAAACTGCTTCCTGGAAGATCATCGTGTGGGCGCTGAAACCACACAGCACGCTGGGGGCGCTGTTGGGTATCCAGAAGCCTCTGTCGTTCCACATCACTTAAGATATGGAGCACAACACCTGGAGCAGCACGATTGGACTGGGGGTGCAGGCCACGGAGCATACGATTGAGGCGGCACTTACTCGCAGAGGATACAACATATCCACGACACTGCTTCTCCAACTGGCGGCTGAGACGCTCTGTGCTGTAGGCGCCACACCGCCTGCAAAATACAAGATTGGGACCAGACGATAGCCGTGTATAGACCAGGTCGTGTCCGAGCGTCGGGCGAGCGAGGAATGAAAAATTCTGTCTCCTTCCAGGGCACCCCGACATATCAAGAGAAGCCGCATTCGTACCTGTACGACGTGCATGACAATCATGACAAATGAACGACCCAGGTGCGCCAGGCACAGCCGTCCAGGCATGCCAACGGTGCGCACCCGTACTTTTTGGCCGAGGAACCTTCTTTCGCTCAGGGAACTGGGAAAACGGGAAGAGGGGCAGAACCGAGCCCATCACCCGAGCCACAGCACGAGCCTTGCCAATCAGGGCGTTCAAGTCATCCCTGGAGGCTTGAGGTTGCTGGGCATGCATCGCAAGAGCTTCCTTTGCGAATCGATCCGCTACAAAAATAGCTCTCGCGATCCTCCGCTCATCATGCGGAAGGTTATCGATTACCTCCATACTGCGGTGGGCAGGGGTGTGGGTGCAGGGACCGACTTTT